AGGCATGAGCCACCGCACCCGGCCTTTTTTTTTTTTTTTTTTTTTAAGTAGAGACAGGGTCTCACCATGTTGGCCAAGCTGGTCTTGAACTCCTAACCTCAAGTGATCTGCCCACCTCAGCCTCCCAAAGTGCTGGGATAACAGACGTGAGCCACTGTTATTAGTTATTCTAATCCAGCCATTAGTTACTCTCTTTAAATTCACGAAGACAATATATAAAGGTTAAGGGCAAGATGTAAAACTTTTGGAGCAGGAAATAATTTTAAATATTCTAATAGTGTTAGGGAAACATGCCTAAAAATAACTTCACATACATTACCTAATACAAGAAAACTTTTTTCTCACCATAAAAACTTTAACGTCAACTAACTCAACATCTTTTTGATGAACTACAAAAAATGGTCATCATATTTCACAAATCTTCCATCAAGAAGTAGAATTTTTTTCTTCTACCCCTTGAATTTGGTCTTAGCTTTGTGACTTACATTGGTCCTGGGGATATTAGCAAATATGACACAAGCAGAGGCTTGACAGGTGCCTGTTCACTGGGGCTTGTCCTCTCTTGCTACTCTCTGGAATCCTGACACTACTGTGTGAAGAAGTGTGAAGGACGAGACAGCAAGTGGAATACAGATGAACTGCTCCAGCTGAGGCCCCAGATCAACTAACCTGCCAACTGCCAGACATGAGAGTGAGGTCATATAGACCACTGAGGCTCAGCCAATGTGGCCCAGACTAAACCAATCACCCAAACTCCTGACCCGCAGAATTGTGAGCAAATAAATGATTAATACTTTGTAAAGCTATTAAGTTTTGGGAAAGTTTGTTACACAGCAAAACCTGACTGACACAATTTCATTGCATAACATGAAGATGTAAACCTTAATACTGACACCAACACCACACTGTCTTTCTGCAGGCTTCAAATCAGGCTGTGCTAGTCCTTCGACTTTGTTTTCCTTCTTCAAAGTTGTTTTGGCTATTCTAGGACTTTGGCACTTCCATATGAGTTTTAGAATAAGCTTGTCAATTTCTACAAATATCTGGCTAGGATTCTGACTGAGATTACACTGAATCTGTAGATCACTTTGGGGAGAATTAACATCCAAGAGTATTGAGTCTTTTGGACTATGAACACAGTGTCTCTCTCCACTTCATTCCACTAGTCAAATAAAGGGTTTCGAATGCTATACCTGAGGTTTTGTGATACTTATCATTTCTTCTGAAGTCTACTAGATCCTGTAATACTCACATCCCTGTAAGACTGTATGGTACTGGTGTCAAGACAGAAAAAATAGATGAGTGAAACAGAACAGAAAGTCCAGAAATAGATCCACAGGTGCAAAGGGAATTCAGTGGAGAAATAACAGTCTTTTCAACAAACGGTGCTGAAACAACTGGATATCCACACATAATGAAAGTAAACCAAGATTTATACTTTTTTCCATATATAAAATTTAACTCAAAATGGACCACATACCTAAAAATGTAAAAGATAAAACTATAAAACTTCTAGGAGAAAACTTCTGTGACCTTGGATTAGGCAAAGATTTCTAAGCTATAACAATAAAAACACAACCCATAAAAGAACAATAAACTGGACTTCATTTAAAACGTCGTCTTACCAAAAGACACTGTGAGGAGAATAAAAAGACAAGCCACGACTGAGAGAAAATATTTGCCAACTATATATCTGCTAAAGGACTTGTATTCAGAGTATATAAGAACTCTCAAAGCTCAACTATAAGAAACAAACAACCCACGTTTTTTAAAAAACGGGCAAAAAAACCTGAACACTTGATTAAAAGAAGATGGTAAATAAGAGATGGTAAACAAGCACATGGAAAGATGCTCAATATCATTATTCACTAGGAAATTAGAACCAGAATGATATCACTACATACCTATTCAAAAGACTGACAGGACCAAGCTTTGGCAAGGCTATGGAGGAACTGAAAGTCTCATATACTGCTGGTGGGATCAAAATGGTATAACCAATGTGGAAACAGTTTAGCAAGTTCTTATAAATTCAAACACATGCCTATGATATGATCCATCTATTCTATTTACCCAACAGAAAAAAATATATAAGCACTTGTATATGAATACTCATATAAGATTTATTTATCACAGCCTAAAACTGGAAACAATCCAAATATCCATCAACAGGTAAGTGACAGTGATAAACAAACTGTGGTATATCCATAATTAATACTACTTAGCAATAAAAATGAATGAACCATCAGTATATTCAATAGCATGGATAAATCTCAAAATACTTATGCTGAGTAAAAGAAGCCAGGCAAAACAGTATTTATTGTATGAGCCCATTTTTATAAAATACTAGAAAATGCCAACTAATCAATAGTGACAGAAAGCAGCTAAGTGACTGCTTGGAGATGTGCTGAAGAGGTGAGGGCATGTTGGGAGGATTACAAAAAGGCATGAGAAAACTTATGGAGATGATTAATATGTTAATTATCTTGGTTTGGGTGATTTCATGGGTATATATATATATATATATATATATGCCAAAACCTAACAAACTAATTTTATATAGGTGCAGTTTACTGTATATCAATTATACCTCCACTGAGTTGTTAAAAATTAAAATAATGAATTCTTGTTCCACTTTTAATGCAATGAATTTTTGAAGCTTAGTATTTTATTTGGAGGAGGGCGAATGATAAAGGGAGATGGGGGAAGGGTATCGGTCTTCCCTAAAACACTACAGAAAAGGTCTTCTGAAAAGGAAGACTGGTGGCAAATTACTTCTGATCAGTCTAGATTACCCCCCTGCTAGATACCTACCCTTTAGCACTTGCACACATCCTCTTCATTCTGTCATACATACCATTTCTGACTCTCCCACTTTAAGAGGGCGGGATCTACATAGTCTACCCTCTTCCTTAAAGTATCCCTAACATCTAGCAGAGTGCCTAGTTGGTATACACAGGCAACATCATACGTTGGTAAGAGTTCAGGGCTCTGTTAAGCCAGGCTACTAGATTCAAATCTTAGGTCCATAACTTCTAATAACTTCTTAGCTGTGTAATTTGAGAAAAGTTATTTAACACTTCCCCGCCTCAAGATCTTCATCTGGAAAAAGAAGATAATAATAGTACCTATGTCATGGGGCTGTTGTGATGACTAAATCAGTTGATATAGGAATAGGCCTGGCATATAGTGGTTATTAAATTATAGCTGCTGTTATCAGCATCATTGCTGTCGTCGTCATCATCTCTCATAATTGAAGGACATTTAAAAGAGATTGAGAATTATCTGAATTATGAAGCTAAATCTATATCTGAGGACTAAGTGGCCTCAACAGGAGGCAGAAAGCATATAAAGAACTTTGTAATTGTGTTAGGCAGAGAAAAGGCAGCTGGGAGCAGGGGAGAGCACCTACACATACCTAGCACAGGGTACTACATCTCTGCATTACATAAATGTATTTCTGTATTACATAAACATAAATCAAATGA